TCTGCTATCTAAACCTACAGAACTCCCTTTAAGTGATGCATCATTTTTCTCTTGATGCTTTCAATATTTTGTCTTTGACATTCACTATTCTTACTATGATGTATCTGTTTGTGGATCTCTTTGTGTTTAATCCTGATTGGATTTTATTGAGCTTCCTGGATATGTAAGTTATTGTTTTTCAATAAATTTGTGAAGTTTACAGTCATTATTTCCTTGCATATTTTTTCTGCTCCTTTCTCTCTTCTTCTGGTGCGCCCATTATAAATATGTTGGAGTATTTGATTGTACCCCACATTTCTCTGAGGCTCTATTCACTGTTCTTAATTGGTTTTTCTCTCTGTTCTTCAACTTGCATAAAATGCCTATCTACAAATTCACTTCTTGTTCTGCAGTTCCAATCAGTTAAGCTTCTCTGATGATTTTTTTAATTTTAGTTATTTTACTTTTCAATTCCATAATTTCTTTTGATTCCTTTTTAAAAAAATTTCCATCTCTTTATTGATATTCTCTACTTGATGTGACCCTATAATCATATTTTCTTTTACGACTTCAGTTGTGAGTTCCTTTATGTCTGTGAACATGTCCATAATGGCTACTTTAAAGTCTTTTTTTGATAAATGTGGCCTCTCTGACAGACAGTTTCTGTGGCCTGCTTTTTTTTGTGGCGTGGGTCATACTTTCCTGTTTCTTTATATGTTTCATAGTTTGCTGTTGTTGGAAACCAGACATTTTAGATAACATGTCGTACCACGTCTAGGTACTGGTACACCTCTACCCTTCTGGAGCATGTTCTTGTTATTTGCTTGTTTATTTGTTTAGTGACTGGCTGGATTGATTTAGTGAAGTTTGTTCCCCCATACACAGTGATCAGCTTCTAATGTTGTTCCTCAGGGGAGGCACAGCCTTGGTATATCCACCATTACCCTCAGATCACTGGATCACCATGGTTTGGGCAGGGCTCTCTTCCTGTCTTTTCTTAACCAAGCCCAGCTGTTAAAATCCAAAAACTGGCTGGTTGCTCTATCTTTTTTTTTTTTTTAATATTTATTATTTGGCTGCATCAGGTCTTAGTTGAGGCACGGGGCTTCTCTCTAGTTGTGGCCGCGGGCTCTAGAGTGCGCAGGCTTAGCTGCCCCACGGCATGTGGGAGCTTAGTTCCCCAACCAGGGATCAAACCTGCATCCCCTGCAATGGAAGGTGGCTTCTTAACCACTGGACCACCAGGGAAGTCCCTGGTTGTTGTATTATTTTCAACAATGCCCTGGAGCATAAACTGGTCTATAAACAATCCAATCAAATTCTGGTTCCTTTGAAGGAACAGTTTCTGAGATCAGAGTTTGATTTTTCTTCTGACCTTAGGAAGGCTCTTGTGGTGTTTTACTCCCTGGTACTTACCTGCAAACTAGCTGACCTATACTTTAGCCTGCTCGAATCTCCTCTGAAATGCCTGTAGCCACAACCTCCACAGTTCTTGTGCGCCTTCAGGCTTGAACTTCTTCATTCTCCATTGCAAAAGAAGCCAGTTCCCTTGGCAAGAAATTAGGAGCTATATGTGTTATGGTCTGTTTCTCCCTCTGGGCAAATCTCTGAGCCAGGACTCTGAAGCTAGGCGTGGGGACAATGGAAAAGTTTTCCTTGAGTAACACTCCCTCTCTAGGAGCTGAGCTCAGTGCAGAGAAAGGGGACACAATCTCAATTCTCCCAGCTTGACTCTCTTGGGATGACCCACCAACTTATAACCTGAGGCAAGAGTGATCTGGGTCCCAGTATTCTCAGCATGCCACACCCAAACTCCACAAGTCAGGGCTGGGTGGAAGAAGGAGTCCCCACTGTTCAACTGCTCTCACCCAGGACTTAGCAACAGCAATAGGCAGCTGGGGCAGGATAAGAAATGCTGATGTCCAGGTCCTCCGGGAAGAAAGCCATTAGTCTAGGTGAAAGGAGGGGACCAGAGGGCAGGCCTGTGTTCTTGGCTACAGTAATCTTGAGTGTAATCTCCACCTTGCTGAGCTGGCTAGGGGGGAGGAAGGAAGCAGTACTGGCTTAAAAACTACAGACACTCTTATTTCTTACTAAATTTTCATAGATATTCTTGAATAAATGTTTCTTCAGTTGCTGTTCACCCTTAGAACCATTTCCAGAGACTTTAAATGGCTGGATTTTAGGGTTTTTTTAAATCACTTTCACCAGTTTCACTGGGGAGCAGGACAGCAGAGCTCCTCATGCTATCCTGCCAGAAGGTGATCACCCATTTGTCATTTAACATGGAGGTGAAGGAAGCAAAGTGCTGGGGCTGTATATGTACTATCTCATTTTATCTTCACAACTATAAGGCAGATATGACAGATCTGACTTTTATAGACCATGAAACTGAGTCCCAAAATCCCAGTAAAAAAGCAAATAGTGGCAACAATCTGATTCAAAACCAGGTATAACTGCCTCCAAAGCTCATGTTCTTGATTAAGCCCGTCCCTTCATCTCTGATACAGATACTTTTAAAAGTAAGACCTCATGAGACATTAGGAGCTATATGTGTTATGGTCTGTTTCTCCCTCTGGGCAAATCTCTGAGCCAGGACTCTGATTTCTATAGGTGATATATCAATTTCTTCCTCCTCCAGATCTTTTATAATAATACCATGAGAAGTACCACTCTGTTTCCTCATGACTTGAGCTACATTCCTACAAAGAATCTATCTTTTACCTTTTCTGTACTTTTGAAATCTGTTTTCCTAAAGAGCCACGTAGGTATGATGTGCACTGTGTTTGGTTCTTCGATTATTATGAACATTAAGATGACAAGGTCTCTTTGCTCCCAAGATTACCATTATGCTAAGCACAGATACAAAGCCAAGCAAAAATGTCATTAAGAAGTGACACCTCCTTTAAAAAAGACTCGCACTTATTTTGAAGATTCTTAGATACAAAATTGTCAGATTTATGGGGAAAGTTTAACATACCAAAATATTCATAGTCACAACTCACAGTCACTAATAAGAAGATTCCACTTTAAAAGTCATATCATGCTTTTTAATATATTTTAAATAACTAAGTGCCAATATTTTGAAAACTAAAAAAATTCTTACCATCCAGATTTAAACTAAAACAAAATCTAAAAAAATAAACTAAATAAACCTAAAATATATAAGAAGAAACCTTTCTCTATATTCACATGCCAAAAAAGAAATAAAATTTAAAAATAAAAAGACATGTCAATCTAGATTTGAAAGTTTAGTCATTATCTCTATTTGGCTACATTTATCATTGTTACCAAAAACAAAACAAAAAAAAATTGGGGGGCCAGTTTTTACCACCTCAAAAAGTCGTATTTCCTGGTAACAAATTCTGCTGCTTAATTCTGATGTTGTGCTAACCTAAGCGTTAGAGGAAAAAAAGAATAGCTACTGAAGACAAAACGTCCTAAATTACAAGAATCATTAAGGGAACTGTGAACACATGGTAAGGAATAGAGTTACATGTTATATTTAAATAAATGTTAAAGAATGCATTAGGGTGAGACTGTTTGCTCCGAGTGGCTATTTCACACACAACAGAGGCCCACCACACTTGTAAGCGTTCTGTCACACTTGGTCACCCCAATTAGAATCTGGCAATAGGAAAGACCCTCAAAAGTTCAGAGAAGTGTTTGTTTTTGAAGATCTTTAATCTCAACCATCAACACCTTACTGAAATAAACAAAACACCTTTGCTAAGGAAACAAAGATGGTGAAGACTTAAAGAGATGAATCAAAAATAATTAAAATTACTTTGTTGATAGAAAATGACAGCACTGAAGGACAGCATCAAGTGACAGCTGCTCAAGTGACAAAAGCATCGAACAGCTATTTTAAGTTTGCCATGGTGTGCTCAATAGCTGTTTAAAGAATGCAATAAATGTACTTACCAAATATTTCCCCTCCACTAGCATATTCTGTCACCAGATAAATCATCCGTTCTGTCTCCATAACCTGGTGCAAAGGCAGGAAAGTGACAGTGATACAAATGACAGGCTGATAACATAGGAAGAGAAACTAATGAATCTTCTTTTGTCATTTGAAGTATTAATAACCATTACTGCCTAAAGGAGACTTAAAACATTAGGGGATTGGGAGGGTGACAGACATAAACGTTATTAAGAAGAAAGGGGGAAAACAGGTATTCCTCCAAGTTCTTAAAAGTAGGAAATATTTACTACTTGAGAGAGTCCTTTTGTTATCCCAGGAGGCCTCTGCAATCTTTTAAGCTCCCCAAAACTGAGAAGCAAAGAAGCTGCCAAGAACCAAAAAGTTCACATTCGACAGTGATCACTTGAAGCTCAAAAATGTCCCCCGCAAAACCCAACCAAAACAAAACTAAGGGAGAATAACAGGAATCACTTAAGAACTGCACAAATATCACATATGGCTGTGCTTTTTTAAAATGGAAATGACAACTTTCCTGTCCACCATCCTTTTATTCAAAACTAGGAACAATAATATAAATATTCAACACTTCAATAATATAAACGACTTTCTTGTATTTTTATCTTAGTCTCTATTTTGCCACTGTTTACAAAATTAGTTGTAGTGTGTTGTCAGTTCCTTCTTCCTTTTAACCTTTTTCATTAAGTATTTATTAAAGTAATATATGAGTATATATGTTTATTATAAACATTTTAAATACCCAGTATATAAACAAAATACCAAAGGTTTTCCTCTTTCCAACCCCCTCCATTTTATTCCTCAGTGGAAACACTGTTTATAGCTTATTCTATAACATTTTAGAGCAGTGCTGTCCAATAGAAACAGTGTGAGTCTCATATATAATTTTAACTTTTCTAGTAGCCACATTAAAAAAGTAAAAAGAAAAAGGTGAAGTAAATTCTAATAATATATTTTATTATCATTAATATTATTTCAAAAATTTTTAATTGTAAACAGCTCCAATTTTTATATTTACATTAATATTAAGTGAAAGTAAAACTCCAGTTCCTCATTCACTCTAGCCATATGTTAATACACAATAACTACATGTGGCTAGTGGCTATCATAGTAGGCAATACAGTATTACACTTTCACTATGCTTCAAGGTTAATTATTTTATCAAATCATTCCCTAGTCACTTTATTTTTGACATTTCTATATGTTAATACCATAACAGTATCATACATTACCTTATAATGACAGATCTATTTCTTCTTTTCAATAGTTTCATAGTACTCCATTGTACGTATGCACATTCTTTTAATTTTTCATTCTAATAACTGTGTCTTTTTTTTCACTTTAATTTAAAAACTCTCTATAGACTGGTGATACTAGCCCACTGTTACATGTATTGCTTCCAAGTTCTTTATATGTTGACTTATATAACAAAAAGTAAGTACCCTAAATATATGCAGTTGTTTAGGAAAAAAAAGAAAAGAAAAAAAAATGTCATAATGTATATCTCCTTTGTACCAGGCCTTTTACTGACTGTAAATTTTATTGAAGTACAGCTGATTTACAGCGTTGTTTTTAATTTCAGATTTTTTTAAAAAGAACTTTTCAGGAGTTCAAAAACTCTCCTATATAGTTATCTATATTTGGCTCACGCTATAAACCCGAAGAGACTAAAGCTTTAACAAATGACCTGAAAACTGCCTTGACAATTCAACAGCCATTCTTCACCTTGGCAGTTCAGAATCTCCCATTAACAATATTAGCTGCCAGAGAGCAAAATTAAAGCTTAAGAAAGGGCAATGTTCAAAGCCAGGGCTGAAAGTATATAAACCTTATAGGCTAATGAAATCTTGGGTAAGAAAGGTAAATTTGCAGATTTCAGTTATAAGGTTAGTACCTATAAGTTAACCTCTTGAGAAAGATCAGCCTAATAAGCTCTACAACTATTTAAAGATGATTTACTTTAAAAAGTGAGGTCAAGGGCTTCCCTGGTGGTGCAGGGGTTGAGAGTCTGCCTGCCGATGCAGGGGACACGGGTTCGTGCCCCGGTCCGGGAAGATCCCACATGCCGCGGAGCAGCTGGGCCCATGAGCCATGGCCGCTGAGCCTGCGCATCCGGAGCCTGTGCTCCACGACGGGAAAGGCCACAGCGGTGAGAGGCCCGCGTACCGCAAGTAAAAAAAAAAAAAAGTGAGGTCAAGAAATTTACTCAATCTGTCAGGATAGGAAGGAAGCAGAGGTTAGACACCTCTGAGTTTGCAGATACAGGTCTTCAGGCAACCCCAGGAACCTTTCATGGGTTTCCTTGTGGAGTACAGTGGAGGTGTGGTTCAACATAATTTACTGTGATGGATTTCAACAAGCCTGCTCCTGCAGATCTAATTCATTTCATTATGTGAGCAGCTGATGCCAGAGACGAGCCCTAACACTGTAGCCTTAACCGTATACACTAATATCAAGACATGCTTTCTTTCCCATGAAAGCTACAGGCTATGAAAGCTTCCCCTTTGGACCTTGGTCAATGTACTCTTCACACTCTTACACATGATCCCGGATCTGGGCCAGTAACCACTTACTGCAGACTAACAGCAGCAAATGAATTGAGGGGGTGGCCACATCCTGCAGAACCAGGTGATGGCTGATCTGGTAGAAAGCAGTGAGCAGCACTGGCCCTATGTACTGGCAGAGCTCATGGCTGCCAACGCGCTGCAATTTGAGAAGCACCTCAAAGCTCTACCTCTCCCAAAATACCTCCTCTACCAGCATGCTAAGGCAAGGTCCTCCTCTCCTATCTGGCTTAAAATTCCAGCCATTAGATTCACTGCTTTTGCAGTAAGGCTAGGAAATGACTTTTGATGAAGGCATGAAATATGCATGCTTCTTGGAAGATAAGAAAACTAGAACAGAAATCTCTTCCATTACACAGAATCAATCTCTTGGTTATCAAAGTAATCAAATGCTATCTTAGAAAACTAAGTTTAGTACCCTGTTAGAATAGAAAGGAGGTAGGCTCTGACTCATACAAGAAGCCATACTTAAAATATCCTTTGCCATCATAATTCATAACATGATCACAGAAATTAGTATTTAAATAATATTGTAAAAATTAATATTACTTTCACCCCTCAAAATTCTGTTCCTTTTGGGTTTCCCATTCTGCTTTAAGATTCTGAACTAAATAAGTAAGTTCTCATCATATTGTAAATAATCTTTTTGTGTAACTCTAGGAATGGCATCCAAGTTTTAAAGAACAAATTATAAAGGCCTACTTAGGTAAGTTAGACCTTACCAGTAAATATCCAAGGGAAACAGAAGTACTGAGTTGGGGGATAATAGGGTAGGATAAATAGTAGGATGAATATATGAACATAGAATCAAGAAAAAGTTGCAGATGTTCACCCACCCACCTTCCCTTCAAAAGTAACCACAGACACAAGTGACCATTCTGTGTTCTTTGTTGCCATATGCTACACTACTAGTGATCCTACCTGGTACAGCCTGATAATATGGGGGTGGCAAAGCATCTTCATAATTTGAACTTCTCGGAAAATCTTCTTCAAGTTTTCTTCATCCAGCTGGGTCTTATCTATGATCTTGATAGCAACCTGACAACAGAGAAAGAAAATTTACTCTGATACATTGTTTATTATTTTTTAATAATTTATTTATTTAATTTATTTATTTTTGGCTGTGTTGCATCTTCCTTGCTGCACACGGGCTTTATCTAGTTGTGGCGAGTGGGGCCTACTCTTCGCTGCGGTGGCTTCTCTTGTTGCAGAGCATGGACTCTAGGCACACGGGCTTAGTAGTTGTGGCGCACAGGCTTAGCTGCTCTGCGGCATGTGGGATCTTCCTGGACCAGGGCTCGAACCCGTGTTCCCTGCATTGGCAGGTGGATTCTTAACCACTGAGCCACCAGGGAAGCCCTCTGATGCATTATTAAAAGGAGTTTACTAAGGAAAATTAAATCCACTTTAAAACATATTCCACAAAATACAAACTGCCAGTATTTTGTTTACAGAATGCCAATGAAGAAAATAAATTTACTCTTTTTAGAAAGACAGAAAATGGACTTCCCTGGTGGCGCAGTGGTTAAGAATCTGCCTGCCAATGCAGGGGACACAGGTTCGAGCCCTGGTCCGGGAAGATCCCACATGCCACGGAGCAACTAAGCCCATGCGCCACAACTACTGAGCCTGCGCTCTAGAGCCCGCGAGCCACAACTACTGAGCCCACATGCCACAACTACTGAAGCCCGCACGCCTAGAGCCCATGCTCTGCAACAAGAGAAGTCACTGCAATGAGAAGCCTACGCACCACAACGAAGAGTAGCCCCCGCTCACCGCAACTAGAGAAAGCCTGCACACAGCAACAAAGACCCAATGAAGAAAGAACGGAAGGAAGGGAGGGAGGGAGGGAGGTAGGGAGGGAGGGAGGAAGACAGGAAATGGATTCCTAGCAAGTTGGTCTCAAAGGAACAGGCTCCTAAAGCTAATGGGTCTTCTGCCATTTCTTAAATTGCTGCTACAGTAAAACCCCAGGACAAAACACTTCACTACTCTGCAGAAGTGGTTACATTTTAGGCAAATCATGCTGGGTGCAGAGAATGGTATGTAGGGCCTCTTATTAAGACAAGAAGCTTGTATCATAAGTAAGTGATGACTTAGTAAGGGCTGACCAGAAATTCCACAGGTGCATCCCACACCTCACCAGGTGCTTCCGTAACTCAATAACAGTAGTAGTAGTGGTGATGGTGGTGGTGGTACCAGCAGCAGTTACTATATACTGAACACTAACTGTATGCCAGGCATAATCCTTAGTGCTTTGCAAGTACTGACTCATTTAAACCTTACAACACTCCATATTATTATCAACCTTATTTTACAAATATGGTAACTGAGACACAAAGAGATCAAGTAATTACCCAAGATTAAGTAATTTATAGCTAGTATGTGGTAGAGCCAAGATTGAAGCCCAGGTATCTCAGCTTTGGAGTCAAATTCTTAACGATAACCCTACAAAAATCTGGAGATCTTTCTGTGCTGTATATACACTGCTTCAGCATAAAACAGCTTTCTACTTTGCTCATAATTCTTAAGATACTCAGCAGCACACATATTTAAAAACAGAATGAACGATGAAAGACTTTTTAAATTTACTAAATCTAAACTTCTTCATTATTCTCAGTGAAATACTCAAAATAGTGGGGTGCCCCCGAATATCTCTATATCTCAGTTTCAATTACTCAATCAGTATGTAATCAATGAATACTAGTTGGACTAAGGACCAGGACTAGGCAAATTCTAGCCCCTTTCAGTTCTTAAAATTCTATGATTCTATACACTGGGGGAAGAAAATAAAATTTATACCAATTGAGAAAAAAAGGAAAAAGAAAAAACAGGGAAGCAAAAATGTCAATACTAAAAAGTTTAGCCCAAGGATATAAAGACAGTATGGAACTGTACGTGGTAGATGATTCAAATGTATGAATGACCAACATAACAATAACTTTGTTTGGAGCTGTTTCAGATGTAGAATGAGGGCTAATGGGAGAAAGGCACAGGCAGACAAATTTCAGCTCAATTCAGAGTTAAGCCCTGCCTAATGATGGAATGTGATAAAATGATGTGGGTGCAGCTTGAGCTTCAGAGATTAACCAGACACAGCCTTCACTTCAGTGAGCTCACAATCTAGTAGAGGAAAGACATATGTGAAACAACCAACTATACAACATTGGAAATACAATCAATAAAGCTATGTACACAGTATAAGTAGAAAAGAGGATGAAGTATGACCTTCACTTGGGGGGAGAATAAGTAGACATAGGGAAAGACTTCACAAAGAAGAGAGAACTTGAGAAGAGACAGAATTGAGACGGGCAGAAAAGAAGGAAGAGAATTTTATAAGGAACAACAGCAGAATCATTAACAAGTCCTACCAGCTGCTTGACCTCCTAATAAGTCTTGAACCATACGACCCGCGACCACGAGCATTTCTACTCCTCATCACTGTGTCAGATCACACACAGTGTGCTGTCTAATATAGTAGGCACCAGCCACATGTGATTACTGAGCACTTGAAATGTGCATGTAAAATATACACCAGATTTCAAAGACTTAATATTAAAAAGGGAATATAAACTATCTTACTTATAATTTGTACATTGATTACATGTAGAAATAACATTCTGGATATACTAGGTAAATGAAATATATTATTAAAACTAATTTCAATGAAAATGCAATCCTATGGAATGGGAAAAATATTTACAAATCACATATCTGATAAGGGATTACTATCCAAAATATAGAAGGAATTCATACAACTCAGTTTAAAAAAAAAACAACCCAATTCAAAAATGGGCAAAGGACCTAAACAGACATTTTTCCAAGGAGGATATACAAATGGCCAACAGGTACATGAAATGGTACTCAACATCACTAATCACCAGGGAAATGCAAATCAAAACCACAATGAGATACCACCTCCTGCCTGTTAGGATGTCTACTATCAAAAACACAAAAGAGGGCTTCCCTTGGTGGCGCGGTGGTTGAGAGTCCTCCTGCCGATGCAGGGGACACGGATTTGTGCCCCGGTCCAGGAAGATCCCGCATGCCGTGGAGCGGCTAGGCCCGTGGGCCATGGCCGCTGAGCCTGTGCTTGCTCCACAACAGTGAGAGGTACGCGCACAGCACAAAAAAAACCAAAACAAACAAACAAAAAAAACCCACAAAAGATAAATGCTGGCAAGGAAATGGAGAAAGGGGAACCCTTTTACACTGGTGGTGGGAATGTAAACTGGTACAGCCACTCTGAAAACAGTATGGAGGTTCCTCAAGAAATTAAAAAATAAAACTACCATATGATCCAGCAATCTCATTTCTGGGTGGGAAACGAAAGGAAACAAAATCATTATCTCAAAGAGATTATCTGTACTCTGATGTTCATTCAATAGTCAAGGTACGGAAATAATCTAAGTGTCCATCACAGATGAATGGATAAAAAAATGTGGTGTATGTATACTACTGAATATTATTGAGCCTTAAAAAAAAAGGAAATCCTGTCATTTGCAACCAGTGGATGAACTTGGAGGACATTATCCTAAGTGAAATAAGTCAAAGACAAATATCACATTACCGCATGGTATTACCTACATGTAAAATCTAAAAAAGAAAGAACAAACGAAAGAACGAACGAACAAAAGAAAGAGCCAAAGTCATAGAAACAGAAAGTAGAAAAGTGGTTGCCAGGGGCTGAGAGGTGGGGAAAATAGGGAGAGGTTGGTAAATGGGTACAAACTTTCAGTTATAAAATGAATAAGGTCTGAGGATCTAATGTAAAAACTGGTGACTACAGTTGATAACACTGTGCTGTATCATTGAACTCTGTTGAGAGTAGAACTTAAATATTCTCACCATACAGAAAAAAAAGATAAATATGTCAGGTGATAGATATGTTAATTAACTCAAGGGGTAAATCCTTTCACAGTGCATACATATCAAAACATCACATTGAACAACTTAAGTATCTTACAATTCTATTTGTTAATTACACTTCAGTAAAGCGGGGTGGGGGGGAACCTAACTAATTTCACCTGTTTTTACCTTTTGAAATATGACTACTCAAAAAGTAAAAATTATATATGTGGCCCTCATTTTATTGGACAGCACTGGTCTAGGTGATACCAATAAGCTACCAGTTAAAGCAGGTATTCCACGAAAACGACTTCTGAAATACTTGACCCAATACTGAGAATTGCCAGCCACCCATCTCAAAGAAACTTGGCAGGCTACAAGGCACTCAATGCTCAACACTGCCTCGGGGAGAATCTTAAGTAAGGTCTCAAAAGTTGCATTCCAAGAACTCAATTTAATTCCATTAAAAATTGTTTACTGAGCCACTGACTGGCTTAAGGCTGTGCCCTTGAGCAGCTCACTAGCAGCTACTCTCAACAGGGATTCTGTGAGACAATTAAGTTTTACACTCAGTTTTACAGCAGTTCTCAAACTTTTTGGTCTTGGGATTCCTTCTCTTAAAAATTACTGGGAACCTTCAAAGAAGTTTTGTTTATATGGGTAATATCTATCAATATTTACTTAGAAATTAGATTAAAATTACATCAGAAATTAAAACAGAAAATTTTAAAGCAGAAGAATATACATGTACACATTTCATCAGCCATCAGAGTAATCATATCATCAAACATCAGGTGGTAATTTTGAAATCTCCACTGTATAATTATGAGAGAATGAGAGTGAAAAATGAAAATAATGTTTGAATATTTATAAAAACAGTTTTGACCTAGGGACTCAATGGAAAGAGTTTTGGAGACTCTGGGGTCCCTGGATCAAACATTGAGAACAACAAGGCATCACTGTATGCAATGAATTAACTTCTTGCCTAGGTATCTAGAATGGTACTGAAACAGGAGGGAAGGGGGCAGAACACAACCTTTAAAAGAATGACATAGCCATAGGACATGACAAAAACTGGTTAGAACCAACTAAGTCCAAGATGGCGGAAGATGTGACTTCCACTGGACCTTAAGCCTCATTATATGCTCATTGTAACACATTAGCATATGCTAAATGACACACCCACCAGA